AAGAGGAGAGGAGGGTCACATACCCTGCAATGCTGTAGGGAAAGAGGAAACACAGGACAGGCAGCGCAGTCCACACCTACGCACTTAGCCCTTGCATGGAGCCTCTCATTTAAGCCTCACGAACCTCTGTGGGTTGGGTCCTCTTAGTGTCCCATTTTGTGACTCAGGAAATCAGGGCACAGAGACGGTAACCAGCTCGTGTAGCGCCACACAGCTGCTAGGTGCACGAGTCAGGGGTGAGTCGGGGAGCCTGGCTCCTGGCCACTCCTCAATATTGTTTCTTTTAAATAGGCGTTGTTAGGGTGGCCCCAGTTCCATCTTTTTTTTTATCCCTTCCAGTACCTGTACGTTGGGCGCTGTCTGTTCAGCGAATGTTTGCTAAAATGAATCAAGTGAAGGAAGGAAGGAGGAACAGGAAAAGAAACAGAATCCGCGGTCCCCTGGGAAGTCAGGAAGTTGACCATTTCCCGGGGTTGAAAGCTGCTTCCCGCTGCTGCTTGCCAAGGACCAGCGTGCACATTTTCAAAGTGCTCTCTCTCCCTGTCCCTCTCTGTTTGCTCAGACAAGAGTGAGAACGGGGAGGCCTATCAGCGGAAGAAGGCGGTGGCCGCGGGTCTTCCCGAGGGCCCTGCTGTCCCGCCGCCTCCTCGAGGGAACCTGGCGCAGCCCCTTGGCGGCAGCTGGAGGAGGATCGCGCTGCTCATCTTGGCCATCACCATACACAACATTCCAGGTGAGGTCTTGCCCCCGAGCGGTCCAGCCACCTGCCCGAAGGTAAAGTCACGCCGTCAGCTCAGCTGCTCGGCTGGAACAGTCATGACGTGGGTCCTTTTTTGACGGGGGTGGGGGACAGAATGCAAATCTTCCTTGGCTATATTTGTAACTTGCGTTATTGCTGTGGGGAGCACCTTTTACAAGCCCAGGATGTCTCCGGTTCCGCTTGACGCTCTTTTATTATTTTTTTTAAGTTTATTTATTTTGAGAGACAGAGAGTGAGAGAGGGAGTGAGGGAGGGGCAGAAAGAGAAGGAGAGGGAGAATCCCAAGCAAGCTCTGTGCTGTCAGTGCACAGCCTGGTGCAGGGGCTTGAACTCTCGGACCGTAAGATCACGATTTGCTTGAGCTGAAATCAAGATCAGACGCGTAACCGACTGAACTGGCCAGGCGCCCCTGCTTAATGCCCTTTTAAAATACTGACTTCTGTATAGCTGAGCACTGATAGTTGCCTTACGTGCCTTCTTGCTGTGGGACACCTGTCTGAAATGTCCTTGCGAGGCCTATCCTTTTTAGCATTCGGCAGTAACTCGTGTTGTGTCTTTGGATTTATTTTAATTGAAAAAAATGTGCTGGCATTCTATTTCAAAAATAATATCACGTTTCATTTAGAGTAACTAGAGAATGTAGATAAACATGAAAAAGAATAAAGACATTATAAAAAAAAATAAATTGAAGGAAGCTGAGGCAGTCCTTGGGTCGGTCACATCTTGGAATTCACCACTTAGTGTATCTGGACAAATGACTCGAGCTCTCTGAGCCTTGGTTTTCTCATCTGTGAAATGGGCATTTGCTACCACTGAGATAACTGGGGTATTATTTACAAAATGAATTGATTTATTTTGATACTTAAATAAGATGCTATAATGTGCACGGACACACGTACGTTCACAGATTTTGGTACCGTACTTGGGCCACATGAGCAATTGGAAAATGGTCGCGGTTGTTAGCATTAATAATACTCCTGTCCTCCTTCCCAGCTGTGGCTTCCTCAGTCTTGAGTTCTTCAGCATCCAGATCCATCTTCCTTGGACCAGAACTCGAGTCTGAGGAATAACCTTGCTGAGGGAGTGTCCCCGGGTGATATATTATCTGAGCCCTTGCCCAGTTCATAATGCCAACCCGTTGCCCTGTTACACAGCCGTGACTCGACTGGACCAGGCTTGCTAGAGGCACATTCTTCTTCTCGAAGCTCGTGTAGACGTTGTTCTTTTGCCCTCTGGCTTCATTGTTGTGGGAGAAAAGGCCACAGCCAATGTATTCCTCTCTGGGTAACTTGATATAACTTCTGCTTGCACAGAAGTCATTTTTAACTTTTACAACGTTTGTAACTTCTGCTTTGTCATTTTTAAAGAATCAAAATTTCAATGTTCTATATTCCCGTATATACTAAACCTGTCTAGAACACTATGTGTCCAATTACTTTTTTTTTATTTGAGAGAGAGAGAGAGAGAGAGCACACGCGTGCACACGTGTGCACACAAGTGGGGGAGGGGCAGACAGAGAGGGAGACAGAATTCCAAGCGGGTTCCTTGCTGTTAGCGCAGAGCCCCATGAGGGACTTGAACTCACAAACCGCGAGATCGTGGCCTGAGCTGAAATCAAGAGTCGGATACTTAACTGACTGAGCCACCCAGGCGCCCCAATCACTTTTTAAATTTACGTCTTCCCCTAGATGAGAAGCACTTTCCTTATCATTTCTGTCCTGGTCTTAGGAATTTCTATCATAGGATCATATAGGCTGGTTGCCTTCCAGCTTTTCTTTACAATCTCATTTCCCTCTTGGCTCTTTCCCTTTTGGCCATAGGCATACTCTCTGCTTTTTCTAGAGCTTACTATTCAGTATTCCTTTGGAGGAAGTCTTATGTGGGACCCCCAAAGCATCAAGCTGACCCGAGTAGATTTGCCCTGGTGGATGGGTCTGGCCACATTCACCCCCAAAGTTTTAGCGAGCTCATTGGAAGACCAAAGACTTGGCAGAGGGCGGCTTGAAAAACCTCCACAGTCACCCTCAACCTATTAAATTCTAATCAGTAGAAAAGAGAAGGTACTTACCCTGCCTCTTCAGTCGTAATAGTTAATTGCTATCTTGCTGCCACTCAAGCCTCCTTCTCTAACCAGTTGAAAACGAATAAAGATCAGCCCAGTGGGTTTACAGCCAAATAAGGTAACTATACTGGCTTGAGGTATCCCGTGGTGATTTTCTGTCTCCCAGAAGAACACAAAAGCGATCTAAAAATCCAGATTTCATAGGACTGGGCTTTGAGAAGCCGGGCATAAGCTTTCCTCTGGCGGAGCCCTTCCCATCTCCCACCTGCCACTACCCTCTGTGCTCCCGTGTGCTCAACTGGGACTGTTTCTGGGCTCATTTTAACAGAAGATCAGGGAGAGTCAGAGTTCACATATTTACGTGTTCATTGACTTCAGTAAGAGCTTGGATTAAGGCCAGAAGCAAAAATGTGTTAGCAGAAGGAGGTGTGGGTGGACACTGACATTTGATGATTCGTAATCAGCACAGATTCAAAAGTTACTTCTTTCCTGACAACAGACCTTCTTCTGGGATTTGGCATTCCCAAGTTCAAGTTCAACCTGTGTCCCTTTTATGGTGAATTGGAAGTACCTTTTGACTGTATGGAGGATTGAGTGGCTCATAGGAACCTCAACTAGTTGGTTCATCAGAAGCATCGTGTAAACAGTTCATGACCTGGGGAGCGGCTGGCTTGCTTAAATCAAGAGGTTCAAGGGGAAATTTCTCCTCCTTTCCTGCCTTTTATTAATTGCATTTTATGTATGTATGTATGTATGTATTTAAGCTTATTTATTTATTTTTGAGAGAGAGAGAGAGAGCGAGCATGCACAAGCTGGGGAAGGGCAGAGAGAGAGACAGACACACAGACAGAATCGGAAGCAGGCTCCAGGCTCTGAGTGGTCAGCACAGAGCCCTACACGGGGCTCAAACCCACAAACTGTGAGATCGTGATGTGAACCAAAGCCAGATGCTTAGCCGATTGGCCACCCAGGCACCCCAGAAAGGAGTTGCAATTTTAAATAGAGCAGTCAGAGTGAGTCTCACTGAGACCTTGCATTTGAGTCTGACATGCAGCTCTCTGGGGCAGAGGGAATGTTCCAGGCAGAGGGAGCAGCCAGTGCAAGAATGCTGAGGCAGGAGCACGTGAGGACCTATGAGGAGTAGTCAGGAGTCCACTGTGGCCGGAACAGGGTGAGTGGGAGGCACAAAGGAAGGACAGAGAGGTCAGCCCTGCCCCAGTTGGAACGTGTAAGGATTTTCGTTTTCACTCTGTGGGACCTTTGAACAGAGAAGCATATGATCTGAGTTGTGTTGTAAAAGATTGTCTGTCGGTGCTGAGTTCAGACTGGACTCAGGAGGGGGAGGGCGGCTGTGGAGAGACCGGGCAGAGAGGCCACTCACTGACGAAGGTAACAGACGAAGGTGGCTCAGACCAGGGTGGTGGTGCCAGAGATGCTGAGCAGGGGTCCCATTCTGGCTTCTGTTGAAGGTGGAGAGGGGGGATTTGCTGGTGCAGTAGACGTGGGGTGAGAGACAAAGGCAGGAGCCAGGAAGGACCCCGAGGTTTCAGGGCTGACCGGCTAAGCATGGAATCGCCTTCGACTGGGATGGGATGTGGGATGAACTTGAAGGCTTCAGAAGGGCATGTCAAGAACTCCGTTTTGGACTGCGAGGTTTGGTTGTCGGCAGACCTTCGAGTGGAGATACCCATCAGGCAGTCGGATGTTCGAATTTGGAGATGGGAGCAGAGTCTGGGCCGCAGAGATCAATCTGGGCCGCCTGTGAATCATTGGCACGTAGAATGTTGACACCCCGGCACCAGATGACATCACCAGGGTCTAAATACAAACAGACGAGTCTCCCAAGGCCCCACTGGGATGCATCCCTGGAGCCTCAGTCTGCTCAACTCGATCTGGAAGAGGTTCCTTCGCCAGCGATTGCCGCGGCAGCTTCCTGCCCTTTGATGGGAACCATTTCAAAAGCTTGTCTGTCGCCAGCTTACCTTTGAAAAGGTCTCTTTTTTACCATTATCCTTCATAGTTTACTAAAAATTTAACTAGAGCTTTCACGTTCCCCGCGACTCTGGGTTTTAGATAGACTTTTCACAGTGACTAAAAGGATACTTGATTTTTTTGAAGTTTTTTTTGTCTTTGCTGGTTCAGTTTTGTATGTCCTGGGGATGATAGGGATGACATTTTGTTAATTTTTTTTTTTTAATGTGGAAGTAAAAAAAGGAAGCTTGTTAGTGAGTGTCTTGTCCACTAGCGTTTTCTGGTGTGTGAGGTCACACATGTAGGCACACACACACACCCCAGGCCCTGGGTTTACACATGTGTGCAAGGGAGGATGTGTTCTTTCATTTTATTTTATTTTTTAAAAATTTTTTTAATGTTTATTTTTGAGAGAGAGAGAGAGTGTGTGAGCAGGGGAGGGGCAGAGAGAGAGGGAGACACAGAATCCGAAGCAGGCTCCAGGCTCCGAGCTGTCAGCACAGAGCCTGACATGGGGCTTGAACCCACCGACTGTGAGATCATGACCTGAGCCGAAGTCGGACGCTCAACCGACTGAGCCACCCAGGTGCCCCGGGGCAGACACGTTCTTAAACTTTTGTGGCTCACAGCTGTTCTTAAGAACCTGGAAGGAGCTGGGGACCCCCTCCCATTCAGCACGCAGGCAGCCCCAAGTGTTCATGGACCTCGTGAAGACCGCCCATAGCCCTAGAGCAGGGAAGAAGCCCCACTTTCGAGAAAAACACGCACAATTGTGCCAACAGTGGACGTGTTTCTGGAAGAAACCGTAATGGCCGAGGAAGACCATCAGACATGAGCCCCTCCAGCCCGTGTGGCAGACCTCAAGTCTTTACAGGTAGATGTGCCGCCTCCAAGTTCCATGCCCCCTCTCTGGCTTGGCCAATGTGCGTCGAAGGTGGGA